ACGTAATGATGTTTAGGGAAGCCTACAATATACGTGCTTCCAATTATGGAGCACAAATAAACTTAACAACCAAAGCGCAAACTAGCAACAGTATCATCCTCCTCTTTATGGAGACACTGATAGCGCTTGTGATGATTGAACTGATTTGGATAAACACGCAGCAGGTCTACAGATCATATCATATTATGAACAAAATTATGGATTATCTCAGCAAATGAGAAGTGCTCACTAACACAGATTTAGACAGATTTGTGAACAATATTTGAGAGAAATAGGCCTGTTGTGTACATAGAAAAAGTCTTAGATCTTTGAGTTCAACTCATTAAAATGGGGGCAAAAACAAAAGTGTTGTGTTTATAATTGTTCAGTGTAAAATATAGATTTAAAATATAAAAAACTACATTTAAGAATATCATTAAAAAAAGAATGAATATTTTAACATCAGTGGTGGATCGCACAATCTGTACGCCAAACAAAAATCTAAAAATATGTAACTACTTGTATGAATAGATTGCACCTATAATACTGAAAACAATTCCCAAAGAAAATCAAACTTATTTTGTCAAACATATAAGAAAATTGATATGATTAATAAAGAAGGGGGAGAAAAGAAAAGTTCTGCTGTAATATGAACTTGCTGTATATAGTTACATAGGATGAAAAGAGACATGTGTCCATAAAATTCATCCTTCCATACATCTCTTTTTTGTTGTTGATCCAAAAGAAGGCAAACAATCCCAGTTTGAATCACTTCCAAGTTTGCAGCGAACTAGGAGAAAAATTCCTTCTTGGCCCCAGAATGGCAGTCAGATTTATCCTTGGATCAAGAAACTATTACCCTACAGTTGAAAAATTATATAATTGAATATTATGTTTTTGCAAGTATGCATTTAGTTGCTGTTTAAATATCTGTGCATATTCCAATAAAACCACTTCTCCGGGCACATAATTCCACATCCTTTTAGCTCCTTTGCTTTCCTTTGCCTTGGAATAAATTTCCTTTCTTCCAGTCTAAACGTATGACCTTGTGCCCTATGTATTGTCCAGTTTCTGAATAGATTTCCAGATAATGGTTTGTATTGGCCATGGATATATTTATCATAATGTTATCATATCCCCTCTGTTTTTCTAAACTAAAGAGGTTTAAATTTGTTAACCTTTCTTCATAGCTAAAATGTTCCCTTCCTTTTTACTAATTTTGTAGCCTGCCTCTGCACTTTTTTTAGAGCTTTAGTAAACGTGTCCAAAATTGCGCAACATATTTAAAATGTGGTCTTACTAGTGATTTATAAAGAGGCAAAATGATATTCTCATCTCGAGAATTAATGCCTTTTTTTAATGTGACAATACCTTACTGGCCGTAGCCACTGCTGATTGACATTGCACATTGTTGCCTAGTTTGTTGTCTATAACAATTCCCAAATCCTTCTCGTGTGTTGTTATCCCTAATTCACTATCATTTAGTTGCTTGTGCGTTCTTTACCCTGAAGAGCATAATTTTGCATTTTTCTACATGAAATATCATCTGACATTTGAGCACCCAGTCCCCCAATCTATCAAAATCCCTCTGCAACAAATAATATCTTGCTCACATTGTATTACTTTACTGAGTTTTGTGTCATCTGCAAACCGTGAAACATTACTTTCATTGCCTATTTCAAGATCACTTTTAAATATGTTCAACAGAAGCGGTCCCAGAACAGAACCCAGACGGACACCACTTACCACTTTTATCCAGGGTGAAAATGTTCCATTAATGACAACTCACTGTACTCTATTTTTAAGCCAATGTTCTACTGAAGAACAAGAATTTTCCTCTAGACTGATTTCTTTGAGTTTGAACACTAATCTATAGTGTGAAACTGTATCAAATGCCTTGGCAAAATCCAAATAGATCAAATCCACTGCAACACTGCAACACTCTGATCTATACTTCTACTTACTTCTTCATAGAATGCAACTAACTAGCTCACCACTAATAACATTAAGTGGTTTATAACATATCCCAACCAATAATTGATTTCCCTTGTTTTGTCCCAAGCAGATATCTATCCATAATACTTCCACATTTTCCTCATCACAAAACTTGCTTGAGATTTGGTTTTAACTTATGGTTAACATACAAACATACCCCACCAACTTTCCTGTTTATTTATCCTTCCTAAATAGTGTGTAATTATTTAAGTTAACTGCCCAGTCATGTATCGCATTCCACCATGTTTCTGTTATGCCTTTTATGCCATATTGCTGAGTGTACACCAGGGATAGGCAACCTTCGGCACTACAGATGGTGTGGACTACATCCCCCATAATGTTCTTACACCCATAATGCTGGCAAAGCATCATGGGAGGTGTAGTCCAAAACATCTGCAGTGCGAAGGTTGACTATGCCTGGTGTACACTATTGTCTCTAGTTCCCCCATTTTGTTATTTAGGTTCCTTGCATTATTAAGTACACATTGAACATTATCATGAGCCACTTGTATTTTATGTGAATTTCTATTATTACATACCTCCTCTCTTCTGATCTTCCCCCTCCCTCCCCTTCTACTGAGCCACCTTGAAGGTCCTTTTCCTAAGTTTGGTACCTAATTCCCTGAAATCATTCTTTAGGACCTTCCATCTTCCTCTAACTTTGTCATTGGTACCAGCATGGACCATGACCACTGGGTCATCCCCAGACCCTCCTAATAATCCATCTACTCTGTCAGCAACATGCCGAACCCGAGCACCCAGAAGATTGCAAACTGGCCAGTTGAGCTGATCAGAGTGGTAGATTACCCTATCTACTCTCTTAATAACAGATTCCCCTACCACCATAACCTGTCGAAGCTTCATTACATTCTCATCCCCATCTGCACTATAGGAGCTGTTCCCTTGGCTGTTAGAAGGAACAGCTTCAATACGATCAATGTTTGATCAATAGGCTCCAGTATTAGTGATCCTATGTATTGTAGGGGATAAATCCAATCTTTAAACTTGCATGAGATAAGAAAAAATATTAAAATAATTATTAAAAGTAATTGGAAAAAATGGTGTCAATGACTAAAACATAAGAATGCGAGGAATTAAAAAACATTAAATAAATTGAAAGTTATCCTAAAATGAAGTACAGAAAAAATAATAATACATCCTTTGATAAATCTATTTGGATATATAAAAGACATATGTTGTACCAAAACATTATAATAAAAAAAAAACAACAAAAAAACACTGAGGTAAGCAGAAAGTACTAGGGCAGGCAGAATGTTCACAGTATCTGATTCTGCTCAACCAACTACCACTCCCGTAGAGCAGGGAGGATAGTGAGCCTAGAGCAGTGATGGCGAACCTATGGCACGCGTGCCACAGGTGGCACGCCGGGCCCTTTCTGTGGGCACGCGGCCATAGGTTCGCCAGCAATGCAGAGTAGGCACCTGCCTGCCCAAAACGGCAGGCGCCTACTCTGCTTCCGTGATGGAAGGCATGGGGAGGGATCAGTGAAGCAGCTCCCCTGTCCTCCCGCGACCAAGCTGTGTGGAGCATTGCCGCGCGTTACCATGGCAACTCTCCACAAAGGTAAGAAGGAGGGAGGGGGGTACTGATTTAGCATATTTTTTTTAAAAACACCTTTACCCCAGCCCCACACACACAGCACCCCTACCCCCCCACAACACCACTACCCCCCACAGCACCCC